CTCGGCGTTGCTCTGGAATTCGAACATGTCGGTGGAAAAAACACTGGCCAGAAACGCGCCGGGGAGGAAGAGAATGGTGAGCACGGCGAGGGTCTTCATGGCCTTAGAGTCGCGGAGAGACTCCTGCGTCATGACTGACTGGAGGAAGCTGTCATGCTGCGTGATCAAGCTGTAGAGCTGTATACAGGGAATTAGTTTCAGAATTCCCAAGATAGGTAAGTAGGTAGGCAAGAAAAAAGGGGGAGGGAGACATACCACATTCCGCAACCCCTCGATCTTGGCCGGCAACTCGTCAATATCCGGCTGCCGACTCTTGGACATGACCGACAACATGGCCACCATGGTCTGCGCATCCCGCCCACCCTGCTTCAGATCCTCAACCAGCCGGGCACTCAGCTCCTCCTCGAACTTGGTCCGGCGTCCCAGCTCCGCCAGCTCCATGCTGCACCGGTGCAGCGTCATGCTGATGGACTGGTGCACGCCCGCCGCCTTCTCGGCGTAGTCTGTGCTGTGCTTATCCTTGTCCAGTTGTCTGAGGATCTCGGCCTCGACGGCGGCAATGCGGTCTAGCAGGGACTGGAAGAGTGTCATGGTCGTTCTGAAGTGAGTCACAAAAAGCTGGGTGGGTAGGAGCATTGGGTGGTGGCCCCACTTGGCGGCGCTGAGAAGGATGTTGCGGGTGAGGGTGGTCAGGTCGGTGTCCTTGTCGCATTGGAGGATGCCGCATGTACGGCTGGCGGAGTCGGGGGCGCCCGGCGATTTGGTAGTGTGTAGGACGAGGGACCAAAAGCCTTGGGTGTAGAAGGGGGTTTGGATTACGTAGACTGGTGATCAAATGGTGTGAGTAGGTAGTTAGTGGTGAGGGAAGGGGTTTAGAGGGGGGGGTAAAACCTTTGGAGAGAACCTCCTCGCCCACCTGGTGCAAGGGGATTTGCTGGCAGGTTCCGCGGTCATGGCGGCGAAGCAGACCGTAGATCTCGGGTAGGTGGAAGAAGTCGAGGATTGTCTCGGTCGATGGCTCGACTAAGAGGTTCGTCTTGACGAGATTGTAATTGGTGAAACCGTGCGTGTCCGCCCTCAGTGCACTAATAACAAGGGTGTTAGAATCTATTAGATGGGTGGGGGGATAACGGAATGAAGCGTACAGGAATCTACAAACTCCTGTAGACATGATGCTATCCTGCTGCTGCTGGTCAGGTTCTTGGGTTGCCCCTGTTCGTTCTTGACCTTCCCCTTGCGGGGATGCTTGGCTTGATGGCCCTGGCTTTTTGACTGGTGTAGGTTCCTATTACGGGGCGCGTGTTAACAAGGCTGAACCAAATTGAAGAGTTAGAAGGCATGATACTTGCCGACTTTGGGGTTACCCATGGAAAATACACAGACAGACTAGTCTTATCGAGAGGCACGGAAAGGGGCCCGCAATTCGCGTCGCCTTCTTGGTCCAGGTGCTCATCGACGGCGGCGTCCTCCTGCATTTCCGATGTCTTTGTGCTCTCCGTCTCCAAGTTCCACAGGTCGAGATAAAAGGTCTTGGTGGCTCTCTCGGCTGCCGAACCCGGAGTCACCTCCTGGGCGGCGCTGTCCAGCACTCCTTCAACCTCCTGACGAGCCGCGCGCTCCAGCCTGGGATTGATCGTTGCCTCGGTCGGCCAAATGCGATGGAGGGCGAGCTCGCCGTAGGGCTCCAGATCCAGGTCGCCGAGGTTCCTCCTGTCGATCCTCTCATGAAAATCCCCGAAAGGCTCGAGATGGGGATCAAAGAGGACAGGGTCGTCCTTTTCGGGTCTTCCGAATAAGTCGAACGAGATTCCGGATAGGTCCGTGTTGATGTCCACAGAACACATGAAGTTGCCGGTGCCAGGGTGTCGCTCCAGAAGTATCGCGCCCCGGAACGCGCTCGGCACGCTCGCCTCGAGTGTCGAGCTCTCGAGTTTCCACAGCACCTCATTACTAGTGTGCGTGACATCTCCGGAACGAATTATGCCAAGCACGGTCACGCTGCTGGCACTTGTGTCGACCCAATGCCCACGCCCCTCGTGCTGTGCATTATGCCTTGTAAGCGTGTCGTTGGTTAGCGGCAATCGATTCGAAATATGGTACTTTCCAAGCGGAGCCATGTTGCCGGGTTTTGGGTCCTGCTGTCCCGGGTCGCATGCCTTGAAGCGGATCACGATTTCGGCCGACTTGATCCGCCGGCTTGGGTTCACGGACTGGAAGCGGAAGTCCATGACTATGAGCGTGGCTTCCAGCCCTCCTTCGGGTTCCATTTTGCCATGGATGACGGCAGACAAGCGGGCTTCGACCAGGCAAGGCTCGCTGCGGCTCACGATTACCCTTCGCTGAAACTCCCCGAGGCGATTTCGGACCATCTTGTCGGTGCCGGTGGGAAGACACTGTATATTTCGGGTTTAGACCCACCCTTTTTGTTGCCTATCCAAGGTTGGGAGCTCGATTTTGGGCAGAAGTTGTGTTGAGTATCGACGGAATGGGGAGGCTGGAGGTGGGGGGTGGTTTCTGTCAGTTGGGTTTGGGTTGGCTTTCCTGCAGGCACACAACCAACCACCTCACTTTGTAAGCTTTGGGGGCCGATGTCGGGGTACTTCGGCCAACCACTGCGCACGAGGAAGATCTCTAGCCCGGGCAGGGATTATTACTTACCTGATGATCCAAATCACTTGTGTCACCGTCTCGCTCCATGTTGGATTCTCAAACGAGAGATATGTCCTCAAACGACACACCACCATCCAAAGCCTCGCCCTCCATCAATCCGTACACATATGTCGAACCCACCAGTCGATAAAAAGTCTCGTCTCCCACAATCTCCTCGCGCACGATAAATGGGGCGTATCCGCCGGCAAAGATGGCGATCCTGTCACCAACCGCCACGTTACGCGGCCCCACGCCTGGCCTCCCCATCTCGTCGATAAAACTACAAAGCTGCTGTGATTTCCACCGGCGAGTGTAATTCAGGCGACAACGCAACAAGAATGCCTGCCATTTAGCAGCTGTCATGCCCCTGGCAGCAGCAGCACCAACTGGATCCGAGGCCGACGGGAGCTCGGGACATGCTGCCTTGCCCTCTATGAGTAGGTCAAAACCATGCACCAAGCTCGCTTCGTCTTCGTCTAGCGGATCGCCGGATCTCCTTCGGCTTCGATCGTAAGGGAGCGCGATGGGAACCCGCCAGACGTTCTCGAGGTATTCCTCCGTCCCGACACCTTTCACCATTTCGCTCAGCTCGAGCAGGAAGTCTCGACAGGCGTCAGGAAACTGAACGGCCGTCTTTAGGCACGTAAAGACCGACCCGACGCGGCTAACGCAAGACGGCGTCACGACGCCGGGTAGAGTGGCAACTGCTCTGCCATGGGATAGCGAGGAAAAGCGACATCTCGAAGACCAGTCTTGCCACCTTATCCCAGCGCTTGGGCGATACACTGGGTTCGTATCGTGTACCCCGTCCATGATGGTGAGTGCTGCCCGCTCAATGATGCCGACGGTTCCAGACTCTGCCGTCAGGCCAAGTACCCAAGAGGGGATGTCAGATGAAGACGTCGGCTTGCACGCGAGAAACAGCCGGGGTCCGCAATCCATTAGCAGTATCTTGCTGACATGTATTAGTAGCTTTGGGAAGTCCATGCTGGTCGAGTAGTCCAGGGGTATTCGTCGGCGGTCCTCGTCACGCACGATTCCTAGCAGCCCGTACACCATGTCGCGGGGGTCCTTGGCTTGAAGACCGCCGGAAACGAACACGGGAGTGTACGAGATCAGAAACAAGGCCTCAAAAAGAGGCAGACCGGACTCTCCGCGCCCTGTCCGCTCTCTGTACTGGCCCGCGGTCCAAGTAAGATGGCTCCGTCCGAGGGCGGTGTGCATAACACGAACATAAATGGCCATGCGTCCAGGTACCGAGAGCGCATCGGGAGAACTTGAAGTGATCTTGCTCATCTCGAGCAACTCGAGGCAACCTTTGACGTCTTCCCACGGGACAACCAGCGAGTCCTCCTCGTGTCCGCAGAAGAAGCGCGCGTCCCGCGCCAGGACCAGCTCCTGGATGACCCAGACGCGCTTCCACCACGGACGCTCAAAGAAGGCGCAAAGTCGGTCGAATTCCGGGCGGTTCGCCGGATCGCTCATGGCCTCGAGGAAGCGGTTTTCTTCCATGAAGTCGCCCCACTCTGCCGCGCTGATAACCCCCCGGTAGGAACGCCCGAGCTGTTGGATCTTCGCTAGGGCGCCGTGGTCTGGCTCGTCGCCCATCCACACCAGCACGCGCTTTGCGTGACTGTAGATGCGGCCCATGACGCCCACCTGGGCATTTCGCTCTGCCGTGTCGAGCTGGTTGATGCAGACCGCGTCGATCCAGATGTGTTCGCCTGGGAACTGGCGTTTTAACCGCTTTAGGGCGCTGGCGAGGTTTTTCGTGACTTTTAGTTGGACTCCGTCCACTAGGATTTCTGCGGTGTCGGTCGCATCTCCCCAGACGTAGGAGAGTGCTAGGTAAACTGGAGGATTGTCGGAGTCGAGGGTCCTGTGGATCAGGCTGAGTGAGCAGGATCCGTCGGGTAAGGGGTTCAAGGAGAGAAGACGGATTTCTTGTGTCTCTATGTTGAGCGGACGGTATGGGTACTCGGGGTTGCTTTCGGCCATGTTATGATCCTTGAGTGCTCGACTGATGATAAAAGGTGAGAATGGAGATTGATCGTTGCTGCCTGATGTGGTGGCCTCTGCTGGGCTAACGTTATTGCGTATTACCCCGCTTCGCTATGAATGAGGATTTGATTGGGCATGGCTTTGATTGGAGGAGAACAGAAAGAAACAAAAAGAGAGAGAAAAGGGAGAATGCTTTTCGGTGTACTTGTTCCAAATGACTACCGATCTCTATACGTAGCCACGCTGCCACAGGGTATTTCGCAGTGGAAGGGTTTGGGTATGGCCACAAGGGAGGGGGGTAAGGTATATGAACTCAAACCACACTTCCATGTTTACCAAACAGTGCAAAGGGGCGGGTAGCGTAGTGGTCAGCGCATTCACTGAGCGTGGTTCTTTCCTAAGCGGATTCAAGCGTTGTTTTCTAAGTATATACCACCGAGCGTTCATTGAAAGACCTGGGTTCGATTCCCAGCCCGCCCAAAGTTTCACCTGTCAGTCCCCGATGGGTGGTTGCTTTTTTTTTAAAAAAAATTGCAGGGTACCTAGCGGGAAAAAGTAAACGAGCACTATGCTCTCTCCTGAGACATTGGAGGACAGAAGCTGAATCAGAAACAAGTTGCTCGGTGCATGAGCTCCGTCTCTGAAGGCCGGCATGGATACATTTATCTCTTGGATGAAGCAAATACCGGTTGAACATTTTAGGTCGCGCTTGTTGGATACCTTACAGGCACCGAACCTACCTACCCTTCGACGAATTGGATGACGAGATCTTACCTCGGTTCAGGCTCCTTTCCACATTCTCTAAGTAACCAGCCAGGTAGCAGAACACACATTCCCGGCTCTATAGGTACATCAGGAAACAAAAATTCATCCAACCAAGTTCGCGTATGTATACTTAATATCCCCCTAGCAATATCTACATGAGTAGTCGAGGGACCACTACCTCTAGAGCGTGTGGAAGCCCTCGGATTCTTACAGTCTAAAACAAATAAATAAATAAAAACCCTCTAAATGAGAATGGCCTGTGTACGTTATCGAGTAATGCAAGCTTTGTGAAAACAGAAGGGACGAAACGGGGGTAGATAAGCTCAAACCACATTACCCCTTGTACCGAAACTCAGAAGGGCGGGTAGCGCAGTTGGTCAAGCGTGTTCCGTGAGCGTACCTAATCAGCGTTGATTTCATTCCATTTTCATCTCTACTAGCGTTCATTGAAAGACCTGGGTTCGAATCCCAGCCCGCCCAGACTCTCCTTTTTTTTCTTTTTGTTTTTTTCTTTTCTTTTCTTTTTCCTTTTCTTTTTCTTTTTCTGTATTTTTTGAAGGTTTGTGCTACCCCTTTTTGTGACTACGAGTCTAGCCACCCCCAGCCACCTTGTTGTGTATATCCTGCTTGGTTGTCTGGGTTAAATAACAACTTCTCGATGCCCTACAAGTAAAGTGACGGGATAGTCTGTAGACGTTATAGCGCTTGTTGCGTGCGTGGCCAACTGCGAAACCAGTCAAGCCGTCATCTGCATACCCGAGTTCCCTACTGCTCATAATAACCCTCAAATGCTTACAAGTAGGACATCTTCGAATGAGAGTGCCATCCCTTGACCGCTTGCACCACTTAATTGTCTACCTTGGGTAGGTAGCCCCAAGTTTCCAGCGATAGATACGCCGGCCGGGCTTTCAAGGATTTCTATCTACCACCCGGCGTCTTTCGTCCTCCGGTTCCTCATCCCACGTCTTTCTCAGGTGGTGATGACCGCCGCTGGTCTGGCCGGAGCGGGATTTGTACTTGTACCAGCGTCGTCTCTGCTGCCAACGCTGAGCCCGGATTCTGCCCGGCTCGCGCCGGAGACTTTTTGCCCGGAGGTAATCCGACAACGTGACAAGGTCGTAAACTTGGTCCTGTTTTCCGGCGGATATTCATTAGTCAAGTATGTCGTAAATAAATTGAAAATTATACACAAGAAGTAAGGTGGATAGGAAAAGAAGCCGTCTTCAAAAAAGGTGCTTACATAGGTCAGATACTCCATAATGTAGAAGTAGTAGTCCGTTTCTTCGTAAATGTAACCCATTTGATGGATGGCCTCGACGGTCACCAAGTCCTTTGTGATCTCGGTCCACATTCCGCTAGTGTTTTCTTGAGGATTTACCCCAAAGGACGTAGACGTCTTTGTCCGGGGAGAACTAGATGCCTTTTCTCGAAGGGAGTCGGATAACCTAACAAGGTCGGCAACCTGATCCTGTTTATATGTATGCTTTGTTAGCTGATCTGCTGGCTATCTCCTTTCGAGGTAACATGGGCAGCGGGTGTGGATGGGAGAGAGAAAGTTGTTGAAACTGAAACCCACATAGGTAAGGTACTCGGTTATGTAGAAGAAATCGTCCGTCTCTTCGTAATCATAACCCATTTGTTGGATAGCCTCAACAGTCACCAAGTCCTTTCTGATCTCGGTCCATTGGTCAGGCTTTTCAGTTGACTGGTGAGCTGGTGCCTCCCCTTGGGACAGCGTGTCGACAGATGACTGCTCTGAGAATTGCCGTTCGCTTGAATTGCTTCTCGGCGATTCAGCTTTCCTTGATTGCCCTGCCAAGGGCTCCTGTTGCAAATCCGCAACAGTCGACATCTCTGGTGTTCCGGGGCTGCTGCCCTCGGCCCTTGTGCGCACTGGAAGTTGCTCAGGTTGTCTGTATAACACGCTTTCTTGGTCTTCGGAATCGCTCCAGTATTCTGATTCGCCATCTTCTGTCGCGTGCAAGACCAAAAGTGCGAATCGCCACACAAGTTCGCTTGTTGGGAGTCTGTTTCCTTGTCTGCCGCTCTGACCCATGCCAGGCCCGCCAATCCGCGAGCTGTCGAGTATGGCGCGGACTCGTTCAAGAACTTCCGGAGTAGAAAGCTCGGTGCTCGGATAATCGGTCGACGTCGCGGTTTTTGCGTTGCCAGCCGATGAGGCTTGCGCATCGAGATCGAGCTTGCAAGCCCGCCAGAGTAGCTCCTCAATGGTATCCGACTTGTCAGCTCCGGACAGATGGACATAATTCTTGGCGATGCACAGGAAAAAACTAGTCGGTAGAATGCGAATCCATCCCAGGACATCTGATACAGCTCCATGTTCAAGCAGCGACCGTGCAACCAGCCAGGACTTCTTCTCCAACGCCTTCTGGAGTGGGGTGTTACCATGATGATCTGGCGCATCGACAAAGTCGAGGTCCTGACAGTGACCGAGTAGAAGCTCCGCTGCCTCGTCACGACCGTAGATCGCAGCGACGTGGAGGCCGTTCAGGCCATCTTTGTGACGAGCAGCTTTGATTACGGCCCCGTGATCAATCAGTAGTTCGAGGATACGCGTGTCGCCATGCCTGGCTGCAAGGGTCAATGGAGTATGGCCCTCTCCCGCGTCCTCCAGTTCGAGAGAAGGGTCGTGCTCAAGTAAAAGCTCCAGAGTACCACTAGTTCTATATCCGGCGTTGATTGCCGAGTGGACGGGTGTTCCATCCTGATGGAGCGCGTTGATATCTGCGCCCCTGAGAAGAAGCTGGCGTGCATTTTCCCGCTGTCCGCGTTTTGCAGCAATGTGAAGAGGAGAAAGACCACTACCCCCTGGGTTAACGTCTGCTCCCGCGGCGAGTAACAACGCCACGCTAAGCGCGTCGTCTGCTTCCAAAGCTATCGTCAGAGCGGTCTTACTAGGATCTACTCCAATGTAGCCGACGTTGGGATCAGCTCCTGCTTCCAATAGGGCAGCCAACGCGTGATGTTTGCCGATTTCTGTAGCAATTTGAAGCGGAGTCTTGAGGCTCAGCTCGTCCGGGGTGTTTGGGTCGTGTCCAAGGTTGACGAGGGATGATATGACGTCTCCCCAGTCAAGGTGAGCCGCGTTGTGAAGCAGTTGAATCTGACAGCAGTCGAGGCAACGAGAGAAAGACTCAGCCGTGTCCCCCGGCTCGGTCTGGTATTGACCAAGAATCCACAAGGCCATCTCCTTTGCCTCGTAGATGAATGCATAGTCCAGTGGCAGATGCAGTAAGTGGTCGTGGCAGTTGAGGAATTGCCTCAGCCCCGGGATCGCAGTCGCGAGTATGGCAAGATCGAAGATGGCCGCCACATGCAAAGGCGTGGGGCTTCCAGGATATAGGAAGAATCCTCGCCTGAACTCGCTGTATTCCAACGTTTTGATTGACAGCTCGATTGATCCAGGTGACGAGAACAGGAGCTCCACTAAAGCGCTGAGATTCCTGGGCCTTTCGTCACCTGCGCTGTTGGCATTGTTGAAGTGTTCACCCCAATACTCAGATGCATACCCGAGGAGGGGATATCGCTCCATCAATTGACGTAGCGCCGTTGGCGTTGGCGTGGGTCTATGTCTCAAGTCGTCAAAGGTCAGATATGTGAGACAAGTTTCGGCAAGGATGGCGTCAGCTTGTCGCTGCAATTCACTATATTCAGTGACATTTGACGTCTTGGATAGTAGGAACTCTCTGAGGGAGGCGTGAATGAGTTGGTAGCCCCCATCTACTTCGACCAGCAGATCGGCACACTCTGTGGACAAAGAAAGGTCGCGAGAGAGCCTTTGGTTGTCTCTCAGCTGCTTCTTTCCAGGTTTTGTCGAAAGCGCGTCCAGGAGCTCGGCTTTAGAGAGACGCCGATACGAGTTTGTGACCCACAGGAGAGCTCTCAGAGCTCTATCGCGGACGAAGCGCGACCGCCCGAGGATCCTGCGGATGGCCTGCTGGTACAAGTCGTCCAAGCCCTCGCTTTGATCTTGCAGTGTCTCTAGTATGTCTTCAACGTTTCCGATCTCCCTCAGATCAGCCATCTTCAGCTTCACATACAGAAACATGCCGTCGGCCTGGCTGAGCATCTTCTGCTTGATTTCGTTGAAGCCGTGGCTTTCTTCTGGCGACGGGTCTAGCTTGATCTTGTCGACCTCCTGGGATACGTAGGCTTGGATGTCCGCATCATTGGCGCCATGGTCAACTGGGAGCTGAGGGAATGGTGACAGGGCAGAGCTGATGGTGGGATAGTTTGGGCGACTAAAGATGATGAGTCTTGTTGGAGGAGATGAGTCGATTGGCCTGGCAAGGGTTGCGATGAACTGGCACAAATCCTCAAAGTGATTATCTTCGAGGTGGCTACATTCATCGAGGCCGTCGACGACGATGAAGCACGAATCAAACTTGGTCCTGGCCACGGTGATCCATTCTTTCATCTCTGTTCTTTGTGGGCCCTCCTTGCTCCCAGAGGTAGCGCGAGAGCTCAGGGCGTGGATGTCTTCGAAGAGCGGCAGCTGGTCGTAAAGCTGGGCGAGAATCGAGGCGAGAAAGTTATTGAAATTTATCGGGGTGTCGGACCTCGTCGAACTGCAGTAGACATATGCGAGGGCCGTGGCGCCGGGATCCTCACGCTGCTGTTGTAAATCGTGGATGACTCTGGCGGCGAGGTGGGACTTCCCAGATCCTGCCTTTCCGTGAACCCAGAGCAAGGTCGACCTTTGGCTATCCCGCCAGTGAAGGAAGTCCGGGTGTTGGACAAGCCACTCCCCGGTCCCATGGACTCGCCGGTCAAAGGTGTCCTCTTGAATCTTCGCAAACGGCATGGATGGCAGCCAGCTCAGGATGCGTCGACGCGTCTCCTCTGCCAGGCAGAGACTTAGTGTTAGCCGCTTTCACTTCTTGCAGGGGTTGGGCTGTGGTCTTACGGATGGTTAGCTTGGTGTTGTTGTCAAGCAGCTCCTCGGCGATTCCTTTCAGCTCCCCGTGGTTACGGCTGAGAGACTGGCCCGTTGCCTCGAGATTCATCTGCAATGCCCGGAGTCGTCGGGAGTTGGCCAAGCCCCTCCATTTCTCCGTCTCGGCCAGATGGCGGTTGAAGGATTTCTTGATGTCGCCAAACTGGGCATCGAAGTCCTTCCATTGGGCTTTGAGTACGAGCCTGAGACCGCTCCTCTCTTTCCCTTGGTCGTTGAAAAACAGCTTCACTGCAGCGACACAGAACTTGAGAATGTCGGTTGCAAGGCTGATGTGTGATGCCTGGACATCGGCGTCATCGGCAAAAATAGACTCTGCGGTATACTTATCAAGGATGCTCAATTCAGAAGCCATCGATGTAAGCATGTCGACAAGTTTCTCCCGGTAGTCATCGACGCGAATGGCCGTGGAAAGGATGCTCGTGATGCCACCAAGGATGACTGAGAAGGCGAGCGGAGCAGGTGTGAACTGGCCAGCTGCTGATGCTACCGGTGAGATTCTATT